AAAGAAAACAGAGATATATTGAAAAGTATTTTTATTTCTTTTTAAAAATTTAAAAATGCTTTTTAACTTACTTGCTTCAATATTGTCATCATCTAAATAGAAAAACAAACAAACATTTAAGTCGACTTATTCTTAAATCTAGTTTAATTTCTTCAATAATAAAAAAAAATTAATCTTTGAGGATTAAATTCATTTACAAAAATCCGTTTAAACCATTTTAACATTGTTAAGTTAATTTTAACATTGTTAAGTTTAACATTGTTAATTTAAAGTTTTAAAAAACTGAAACTTTAATTCTACCTCAAAGAAAACAGATATATATTGAAAAGTATTTTTATTTCTTTTTAAAAATTTAAAAAGACTTCTAAACTTACTCCCTTCAATATAATTATATAATATATATAGTATATATGATAAATAAACCTCCACAATTTCCTTGGTTTAACAACTCGATTATGATTTATAACAACTCTGTAAACATAAATTTTCTAATAACCTAAATAAATTACAGATAGACAAACATAAACTAACACAATTAAATCCTAAACCAAAATTCATTCATGCAAGACAAATAATTTTATATTTATTGAAGAGCCAGAAACATATTTTTTTTCAAAGAGCTAAAGTATTAACAATATTAAAGACAAATTTTATTTATAACAAAATTTTCAATAAAAATTAAATTAAGATAAATTTATAACAAAATGTTGTCATGGCTTTTATCCCAATAACCAAAACTAAGTGAAAGCATGAAACTACCCATAAATATATTTTAACGCTAGACACAAATTAAGAATTAAAGTAATCTATAACACGAAGCTTTAAATTTAAAATTACAATTTAAAAAAGATTACAATAAATTAATTACTTTTAAATTAAAAAAAAAATTTAGATTACCTATAATTTTAAGCTACTAAACATTATCTACTTAATGTCAACTTAGATATTTTGAACTCGTACCATGAAAGGTTGAAGGGAAATCTGTAAGTAAGCACGCGGTAAAGAAAAGTCTAGAAACTACTTAAAAAGTGTATTTTACAGATACAGAACCGTACCGTAACTATAAAACAATACGCGTAACTATGCGCACTATTAATATTCATAGGCTATTCATTATAGGCGATGACTCAAATGAGAGCGTAAATCAATTAATTTAAAGTTAAAATAAATTCGAGATAATCCTGTACAACGGTGGTACTGTTGCTTTACTGAAAGTTTTTAATCACTTCATCGTTAGTAACGGTTTTATGTTTTGATGTCATATGTTTTATTTTTCTCTTAGAAATTAAATTTCATAGGCGCGCTTCTCGGTATAAGATAGAAAAGTCGTTTTTTTAAAATTATAATATCTAAATTTTAAAATTTTGAGCATTTAGTTGAATTTGTAATCAATTACCAAAAAATTGCTTTTCAAAATATTTTAGGAGCGTGCTATTTTGTTATTTTTAAATAGTCAAGCATTAAGGCTATTCTTTATTCAGCTTTTCTTGAAACTTTTCGCGCGGAAAGCTGCTTTACGCATGCGCACACTGTTTTAATTCGGAAAATTATTTTAACTTATACAGTGTGCGCATGCGTAAGTAGTTTTCCGTGCAAAAAGTTTCAAGAAAAGCTAAATGGAGAATAGCCTTTAATTGTAAGTTTTGAAAATGATTTAATACGTGAGCATCAAACACTTTAACTTGCATGAATAACGGTGTGGCGTATTTATCAAAATTGTATACTATACCACACGATTGCTTTGATATTATGTATATTCTTTAGTGCTAAAGAGCATGTGCTTATTTAACTGATATTATAATGGGTAGTGTAACAGTGAATGAACAAAATTTGTTCATTCACTGTTACACTACCCATTATAATATCAGTTAAATAAGCACATGCTCTTTAGCACTAAAAAAATATACAAAATATAAAACCAAGCGTGTGGTATAGTATAAATAATACACACATGTCAAAACTTATCTAAAATTTATTGATTATATAATCGTTAAATTTTAGATAAGTTTTGACATGTTACAATTAACACCAAGCACTGTTAGAAGTGCATTGGTATAATAGTTAAAACAATCTTTCTCTTAACTGAAAATTAACCACTTTAAGTATTTTTTAGGGGATTTAAATGGTGGGCAAAACTCAGCCCGCGCGTTAAAGTGACTTTGCCAAAACCCAGTAAAAAGGAATTAAATATTGCATTGAATCTATAATAATAGCAATGTTAAGGTAAAAAAAAACAAATTTTCATAATTTTGTAAATTTTTAAAAATTTAGTAAATTCAAAAATTTACGAAAAGGGTTTAAGATTTTGTGACAAAACTTACATAAAAAGTATAAAAATCGTTGGTACAAATTCAACACGTTATGATTTTGTCTAAATAGTATTTTGCGATACATCTAAAGTCATATGATTTCACAGAAAAGCCATGGAAATATTTATATCAATAGAAAAACATTTTTTGTAGATATAAATAATGGTTAGCCATCATGCTTTTTAAGGCGTGTTTAACTTAAATATCGGCGCGACTCGTGCAATTTTTATTTTTTCAGGGACAATATCTGTTTTAAATGAAAGATTAAATATGTAAAATAACGAGGGTTTTATTATATTATATACTGATTTTACAACATTAACGTTAATTTTATCAAATCTAGCATTTTTGTTAGTTTTAAGGTAAATTTTAAGTGAAAAATATGTCAATAACTTAGAACAAAATTGTTTTCAGAATTTTTTTAAATTGGTTTTGTTAAAGATTAAGAAAAGACAATAAAGGTGTTTGAAATTGTAGTTTTTGAATGAGCAAAGAAGTAATGTGACTTTGCAAAACTGCTCCAAATGTGTAAATTTAAATTATTGCCTTTTAATAAATGTTTAAACTGTAAAAACCTTAAAACTTCCATGTCTTAAATAGTGATATCTTTTTATCTGTTTTTGCATTATTTACTAATTTATTGTTTATAAAAAAAACCAGTAAAAGTGAAATGCTCTGGTACAATTTTAAGTTTATGATATATTTAAGTTACAGGCTTCATACGAATATAAATAATGACACTCAAAGATGATTTTTCACATTTTTATTTACGTTGCTCTATAATAAAGATTTAATAACTTGCAAAACAATTGTATGTCTTCATATAAAAAGAAGCATAATATTAGGCAGAAAATAGTATATAAATCCTAATCTCTTTTTGAAACTAATTCTGGAAAATATATATAAACATTTTTTTAAACAGTCTCAAAATGAAATATATTATGTAACAACTTATTATTATTGCAGATTAGAAACCTGCATCAATACCTTAAAAAAAAATTTAATTTTGAAAAATTAAGAACTCAGTCTGTCAGTCTTTAATTTGCATTAAAAGTCTCGTTTTCAAAAAAGTATTAACTAAATTTTTGTTAAAAATCGACGCCAGAAAAGTCTTTAAGTAAAACATTTTTTGATTTGAAAACCTTAAAGTGAAGTTTTGAAAAATTATAAAGTTAGTGTAGTCGTTTGTTAGAATAATTAAAGAGTGAGTTTAAAACCCGCCGATAATGAAGACTTTTGTTTTTATTTTAATATGTGAACTCTTTGCCAAACACTACACAGTAAAAACCGCGTTTAGTCCTCCATATAACAATTTTCTACAACAATTAAAACAAAAAAAATTATTAACTACTCAAAAGTGTTATTTAATCGGAAGTTTATTCTTTTATGTTACGTGTTTTGAAATGACAAAATTAAAAACACTCATTATGACAAAATAATCATAAGTATATATTTGAAGTTCAAAATGTTCAGATTCTATACATTGCGATTGTTGCATCATATAAGAATAAAATTTGAAAAAAAAGATGGACATAGAAAATGACATCATAATTTGAAGAAATTCCTAGACTTTTTCAAAAAACAATTTTTAATGCTAGACTTGTACAATGAAAATTAGTCGTCGTAAAGATTCTGTTTACTTTTATTTACTTTCGATTAGTATATTATTTTATATTTCATTATAGCAGTAAAGCCGCATTTTTGATGTAGGCAAAATATAACATAAATCATATAATTAGTAACTAAAGAAACTTTTCAAGAAGCTTATTAATTTTTTGAGGGTACCACTACCCACAAATAAAACCAATTAGTTGTTAAGCTGAAATAATAAGCTTCTTAATTTTACTGACATAAATTTAAAATAGAAACTTCTAGATATTCCTTTTAAGAAGAAAGTAGCGAAGATGACATCATAAATGTATAAAGGAAACTTCTAGATAATATTTCAAAAAAAATTCGAACTTCGAAGATTTTACGCCGTTCTAGATAAATAGCTGTTTCAGCGGCAATTTCATTCATTGAAAGTCGAGAATTAAAAGTTCATTCATTTAAAGAAAAGTGCATCACTCTTCATCTCAAGGTAAAATTGTTTGTCAGATATAAGTAATAATACGGAATATTTTTGTACAAATAGAAAAATATCTTTAGAAATTCACTTTAACCCTGAAACTCCACAATACGCTATACACAATACGACTTGCGCTTAAGAGACTAACTACGTAAAACCTTTATCTTTGAGAAATTTACTAAACTCATGCTGCCATTATACACTGTTCGAGCTACATGGTGAATAGCAGTTCTATATAAATTTTCGACCTTGGATTCATGACAGAAATTTACGCTCTTACAAGCGAAATAATTAAGTTAATTTATGTTACTTATAAATAATTAAGTTAATTATTTCGCTCTTACAAGCGAAATAGTTAAGTTAATTTATCAATTAGTCAAGCAAAAAAGAATTTAGGCTAAACAGAATGCGGTTTTAGCAAAAAAGGGTTTGTGTAAATAGGTTCAAGACGCAATTAAATTCAAAAAAAATTAATTCAAAAAAAAAATTAGTTTGACTTCAACATTTATTTTCACTTCTTATAAATATAAATAATTAAAAAAAAACTAAGTGATAAAATGTTTTTAATTTTGCTTGTCAGTCTGTTTGAACATTAACAACATAAATAGACTGTAGTAGGCTGATTCAAATAATAATTTATTAATAACAAATAAAGTGTGAAATACATAATACAAAAGAAGCTAATGTAATTTTATTTGTGCTTTTATATGTAGGTAATAACGTTAGAATATGTTATAACTCATTAAAAAAAAATTATAGCAGCAGACACCATGACAAAATACGCCTAAAAACAGCTAAACCTAAAAAAATAAAAACTTTAATTAATTTATTTTTAAATTTTAATTTCACATCATAACAAGCTATTACTTATTAAAGCCTTAAAATAATCTTATTATATTAGTAATAATTACAAAGTATTCCTTACATTGTTAGATATCTTTAATATATATAAACACTTTATTAATTATTACTAATACTTTTAAACATTACTAATATTATTATTTTTACTAATATTATCATTATAACTAATATCATTAAGTATTATTTACATTTTATTTAATGATTTTACTTATTTATTTAAGTTACCAAATAAACTCTATGTATTTCATATAAACTTTTAATGTTTATAAAGTCTATTTAAATTACGCAGAAAAAGTTTTAAAATTTATTTAATAGTGGGACACTCTTTAAGTGTCTTAATGTGTAATATAAGGCAAACACAAATTTAGGTATTAACACAATACACACAAAAAAAGACACTCATTAAAAAACTACTGCAAAAATATGAATAGTTATAGCTTATACTGTATTATTGTATTATATTGGCAACAAATATACATCAATATTGTTATGGCAAGATTTAATAACTTAATTATTATACTATCTAATTAAAAAGAAATGAATATGCAATGTTAAAAAAAAATAAATTTGAAACCAAAAATAAACTTTTATTTACACTTACAATGAACATTAAAAGAACAAAAAAATTAGCTAATAAAATCATTTAGGACTAAAACTAAGTCTGGTTTTTGCCAATACTACAAGATGAATTAAAAAAAAAAAGAAATTCTACAAATAAGATTTTATTTAAAAGTTGCAAGCAACTTTAAAAAAAAACATCATTTGCAAAAGAAACTTCTATAAAAATTATTTTTTATAATTAAGATAAACAAAATACCAAACCAAAACCATTAGTTAGACTACAGTATATAAAAATAAAGTTTCATGCAAAACATTTAAATTCTTACTCTGAGCCTGAACCCAACGAAAGTTCTTTTTATTGAAAGCCATACTCTAACTAAACCCCGAGCCTAACCCTAAGGGGCAACAACATTTGTTTCATTAAAGACTTCTTTTGAAAATTACTAAAGGGGGCCTGGAATACTCATTCGCCATCAGCCCTAACAAGTCTAAAAATTTTGGTAACTAAAATACTAAAGCACTATTAATTTCATTTACAGTACTAAAATGTCAAATCTGTTTAAACGTTTCATATAAAAAAAAAGACGAATTCTTTTGGCTGATATTTAAGATGGAATTTTTATTATCTTTTACAAGATCTCCCTGATTAGAGTTATTAAAACTATTACATTTTAGGTATCAACAGGATGTGTTGATACTCAAATTGTAAAAGCTTTAGTAAGATGTGTAAGTACACCTCAAAATATTGCCAATATTTTAAGGTGTACTTACCTGATCCACCACCTAATTTCTCTAATTAGTTTGAAGTTTATTAACTTTTTTTTAAACCCAGCTTTTTATTAAACCCAACTTCAGAAAAATTATATTTAAATTCCTTTAGAAAAATGTTTTTCAATTGCAACCTCTGTAGTCAAATGTAAGTCAAGAGAAGTTCATAAAATGATTTGCTAAATATATCTACATTATGCGTGTGACATACAACTTAATTAAGTTATGGAAGTTCAATGAAGTGCAACCTTTCATAATTTTTTAAAAATTTAACTTAGTTTCATTCTTTGATTTTTTTTTTACAAATATTTGACTTTTAAACGATCTGGCAAAAACACTATATCAAAAGGATTGCAAAAGTCAGCCAAATAAATTTTAAATTACATTTATGGTTTTTAATCGTAATAGAATAGAAAATTTGAATAAATCACTTTGTTTAGAGCATTTTTTTGTGATTTTTTTGAAATTTTTTTTATTTGTTTATTTGAATTCCCTAATAAAGCCGACATCCTGCTTAAACTGATTATCTAAAAACTACCTTAACTGATAATATCAATACTGTAATTTAATAGTAGTTACTCATATCATTTTAAAGAAGTTTCTAGGCTTTTCTATACGCTTTTTTTTTTTTAATTTTATTTACTAACAACCTGTATTACGGGTTGTTTACTGCTAGTAATAATAAAAACACTTGAATTTAAATAACCAAGAATAAAAAAAATTACTTTAAGGTTGTTATATGGTAAAAATTTAGCGATTATCGTTAAAAAAAAATCAATTTTCAGTTTATTAGCCAACTTTGTATAAAATTTAACTGGTTTTCAACCATATATAACATGATATGATTTTAAAAACAAAAATTGTTAAAAAATTGATTTTATTGATTATGAGTTAAGAAATTTACTAAGTTACAACCAAATTTGTTTTTGATATTTTTATCTAAGACCTAAATTTTAAATAGTTGTTTCAATTTTTAGGTCTGTATAATTACTAAACTACTTAAAAAAATGTTGTATATCTAATACTGTTGTTAGTTAAAAGGAAAGAAGGAAGTCAAGGGTGAATTTATTTTTTAAAAAGTATTATTATGGCAAAGCATACAAGTTTAAAAAAAGAAAAATCAAACGAGTGTTTCAAGGAAACAGATATATTAAGAAGCTAGGTGATGTTGTTTTGGAACAGTCTGCAGAAAAAACAAACAATGATGGAATAGATATATTGCCATGTGCCATTTCATTAAAATTAAACATTTCCTCAAATAAAGCCAATCAACCCTTATCTAAACGTGATGACTTTTTCTTCTTTTTTCATTTCCCAATGTTAAAATTTATAACATTGGATTATGCGGTTGTTGTAAATCAAAAGATATTAAACTTGAATACCTTGAACAAAGGATTTTCTTGAAAACCTTGAAACAAAAGGATTTTCAGTACAATTTTGTATTAAATGTGCATTTTGTGATTGGACTTACTTGTTTAATTCATCACAAGCATTTAGTATGTCTAATAGAGATTCCAGAGGAGTCAAATCTCAAGAAATTAACATCAGAACTGTTATGGCATTTACAGAAATTGGGCAAGGTCATGAGGCAATGAAAACATTTGCTTCAATTTAAATATGCCCCCACCAATGACTCTTAAGACATATAATGAAATAAACTCTAACCTCCTACCATTTTATGAAGCTGCTTCTTGTGAAAGCGTGAAAGATGCTGTGAAAGAGGTTAGAAAAATTGTTTGTCCAACTGCAGCTGAAAATGATATTTTAGATATACAAATTGGGATTGATGGCACTTGGCAAAAACGTGGTCATTCATCACTAAATGGTGTATGCACTGCTGTTGCTAAAGCTAACCGTAAAGTCGTTGATTTTTAAAGTTTTGTTGTGGATGTGCTTTATGGAAAAGCAAGAGCAATAAAACTAAATTAAACTAAATTTAAACTAAATAAAGCATTATGAGGTCTTAAAACTAAATTTGGTATGTAGAAAAAGTTAAAAATCAAAAAATATTTTTTTTTAAATTTTATTTATTACTAAAAGTTACCATAGACTAACTGAATAATAATGATGCCTGAATTGGTATTTATATTATTTATTTTGTACTAAAAAATTAGGCTTAAAATTTAACTAGTAATTATTTATGTATAAATATATATTCAATCCGAAAAGCTATGATTTAAAAAAAAGTTATTATCTACTTAAAAAAGGTATAAAGGCGTTGCTCACTAAAATTCAATTGACCTGTTACATCTGTTTTAATTAATATAATAAATTTAAAAAAAAAGCAAACAAATGTATACTATAACAATGTAGCTATAACAATGTATAATCACTTGGTTTTAAGTTATTAATCCTTTTACAATCTTAATAGATAATCCTATTAAGTTAATAATAATAGTAATCTTAATAGATAATCCTATTAAGTTAATAGATAATTCTATTAAGTTAATAATCCTAATATATAATAACTCTTACAAATTTATAAAAACACATTGCAAGAAGTAAAAACTGCATATAAGTATTGCAATTTACTTCTCGACAACTTAGCGATCAGGGTTAAAAAAATATTAAAATAGTTAATTAAAAAAATATTAAAATATTTTAACAAGTAACTGGTTAACATATAGTTTAAAAATAACAACAAATACAAACCTTTTCTAAAAGCAAAACTAAAACAAACAGTATGCAAACGATTCAAAAGATTAAATTAGATACCTCTGTTAACGCTACTTGATCTCTATCGTAAATTTGAGAAAAAAGGACAAAAGATATATTGCGCACTGTTTAGAAAAAATCTACTTTACAGAATGACATAAAAATGACGTAAAGAAACGGTAAAACTTCAGTTAACGGGTTATCTATAAAGTACATCACGCAACTAGAGGGAGAGGGGGAGGGGGGAGAAGGGGAGGCATAATTTTGTGACAATTTGTGACAAGGGGAGGGGGTTTGATAAATATGATGTCACAAATATTATTTATCATGACAGTTTATTTTCTACATATTTACTCATTCAATTATATAAGTGCTTCAGATTTTTACTCACACTACTCATGTTATGCGTATCGCTGTATTTTAAATAGTTTTACATAGTTTAAAAAGTTTGCAAAAACTGCCTTCATGTTTCTGAAGACATTGAAGCGCAGCGATGCAAAATCATTAAATTAAGAACGTATAATTTAAGTTTGGAATTTTAAATGGAGGGTTTAAATAAGTAAATCAAGCATATGATGAACATATTTTTATGACATTATATAAACACTAGAGTTTTAGTTAACTTTATGACATTATATAAACACTAGAGTTTTAGTTTTACTTAAGCAAGAATATATAACATATGATAAATAATAAATATATAATATATGATAATTAAGTTAAATAGACTTGCTCATGCTTTAAATAGCCAATAGGAAACACAGATTATTAATAAATAAAAGTGTAAATAGGGTAGTAGCTAGTTAGCGGTCAGTATAACTAAGTAGTAGTAATTTATATTATGGCATAAATGCAATATTTTTAATTTCTCTAAATGAGTGCAAATGTGATCCAGTTCAATTAAAAACATAAGGTTCAAATAAAAGAACTATTTTTATTGTATCTTATAATGACAATGTTTCCCAATAAATTTAGAAGGTATTCCAAATTAGTTAAATTGAGTCTTTTTTATTCTGTTAAAAATATTTCTATTACTATGTTGAAAATTCCGTAATGTTTTTTTTTGTTTGTTTTAGAGGAGGGGGGTGCAGAATTATATGACAGTTTGTGACAGGAGGGGGGGAGGGGGTTAAAAATTGAAAAAAATAGCGTGACATTCTTTATGGACAACCCCTAAGGAATCGTTCATAAATTACGCTACGCTAAATTTGTTAAAAAAACAGAAGAGAACTTAAGCTCTTTTACCAATTAAACGCTGTTTTGATTTTTTATTTAACTTAAATCTCTGGGAGGAAAAACTTTTGATTTTTTTGAAAACCTTCGCCTTCCCCACTCCCCTAGTGCAAGACAATTCTTATGTCGAATTAAAAAACTTAAATTGTAAAAACCTTATCTTTGACAATCAGTAACTTAACTTTTAAATAAAATGAAATAAATAAAAACTTATTTTTGTTTAACTAGATTAAATACAACTCTATTTCTTATTGGGTTTTAAATTGAAATTTCTTCAAGTTTTTATTTGTTTATACAGAATTTAGTATTATTGAACTTCTTTAAGATTTAGTTCAAATTCTTTTGAACTAAATCCTAAAGAAATAATATATTTTGAAATAATATATGAAAAAGCTAGAACTTTTACAAAGTGTTTAAACTATAAAGAAACTTAAACTTAAAAAACTTAAACTTAAAAAAAAAAAACATGATTTTTTTGCTCTAATTTAAAATGTTTTCCATCTCATAAGTGAAAATAAAAAAGCACACGTGGTTATTAAAAATTATTTCAATACGTCTTTAATAGATTGAATAAATTTTTAAGATCGGAAAAGTATTGGATAAATCAAAATTAGTTATAAAAGATATGGTTCTCAAAATGTAGTGCAAAACTAAGTAACTTTTGTTCTGCCAATCAGTTCATATACAAAAAATTTATTTCTAAGTATATGTTTACTGATTGGGTTTAGAGAAAAAGCATTTTAAAGATAGGTAAAATTAAATTGTTTTTCCACGTGTAAGTGAAGCATAACACGTTATAAACATTGAGCTCGCAAATGTTAAATAGGTTTATCTCCATAAATAATGATTTGGAATGAGTAAAACAAACCGCAAAATTAATCAAACGGATAGCATGTTTTTGACTAGTGGCGGAATTTCAAATTTTGGAGCCCCTCGCAAAATACTATATAGACGCCCACCACAAAAAGAAAATAATAATTTTTATCTAAATTTCTTTATTGAAAAACTGTTGCACAACTGAAATTAAATAAATAAATAACAGTTTATCTAAAATTGTAAATAATTGCTCCTTGATTTTAAATTGGCAAAACCTGTCACGACTTTGATTCTCATAGTATTGGCTGTTTTTGCTTCGATTCCTAATATAAATAGATTATGCAAACGTTTTTTGTCTGTAGAACTGCGTAAACATTTTTTTATTATCTTGTAACATTAAATAAATGTAGAGACATTTATTTAATGTTATATTATTCTTTTCGAGCAGATTTAATGTTTCTTTTTATAATGTTTCTTTCAAACAAGAGTATTGAAGCGAACTTATTATTTATTCGAAGTTTAAACATCTAATAAAGTTCATTTGTCATTTAACTCAACTATATTTTCAGAAGAAAATAATTATAAAAGTTGCCAAATATATGTCTTAATTAGGAAGTAAGTATCGGATTAGGGATATAATTAAATAGATAAAAATTATGGCAAACTTTATTAGTTTTATTTCAATTATAGGTAATGGCTACATTCTCTTTAAAATCATTATCAATACTAGAAACTAAAGTAAAAGATTTTTCGATAGATATTCCACTGATTTTTTGTACAAAAATAGGTGAAGGGACATCTGCATCTATTTTTAAATATGAGCTAAAAGGTGATCCGGTGGCTGTAAAAATCTTTAAATATTCTTTATCCAAGCAAAGAACACTGCAGGTTGCAGATAAATTACGCAAACTAGTCTGCCCTCACCTCGTAGTGTTTAGAGGATACTCATTGCGACCATCAGCATTTATATTTGACTTCTGCGGAGTAAATGTTGGAGATGAATGTGTAAACAATGTATCCCAAATGATAAAAATTTTTAATGAAAACGATCATTATGTATTAAACGAAAGATTAGACATTATCAAACAAGTTACCTTTAAAAACTTTACATGATTTTGGAATTGTACACAGAGACTTTAAACCATCTAATCTTTTGGTCACTGGAACTTTAAGCAAATTATGCGTCAAATTAACTGATTTTGATGACCTATCCTTAATACAAGAAACTGTTAATGCCACCCTAACAAACAAAGTCTTTTTGTTTGGAATGACTTTAGCTTATACAGCACCTGAAATCTGCAAACAGGAAGTTAAATCTCCATCCTTTAAGTCAGACATTTATTCGTGGTCAATGTCAGCTTACGAAGTTCTTTCTGGATATGAAAGCCCTTGGGTAAATATAATACCTATACTAAATGATTCTCTCCTAATAGAAGCTTTGAGTCAAGATAAACGACCGAATATAAATGACTTAAACCAGTTTTACACATTTAATAATGAAACTTGGATTTTTAAAATGATTTGCAATGCGTGGGACACAAATCCAGATGTTAGAAAAGATATTGATAAGGTGAGACGAGTATCAAATAATATTAAAATATCAATAGATTTAGCATTTAACAATAAAAATAAATAATTTTTTTTTCAGATTTTAAAAACCCTAAACAAAGATAGAAGCAAGCAAACAATAAAACCAAAACAAGACGCAAAAATCTATCCACTCAACGAACGTAGGCAGGTATGAAAAAAAAATTAGTATTATAAAAACAGCTATTTTAACCATTATATTTTTTCATGCGCATTATTTTTGGAAATACTTAAACATGAATTCACTAAAGTAATGTTAAGAAAAATTTGGTATTTATTTAAAAATAAGACTTCATTTTTGGAATGAAACTGGAATAAAGAAAAGTGTTCCTTTTTAACTGGAACTAAAAAAAAATCATTTTTTTAAACAGGAATTCGAAGCCCAACTTGATTCAAAACTAAAAAAAGGAAGTTTTATTTCAAAATAAAATGACATTGGCATAAATTATAGAACTGTAAATGTTTGCAATGTTAAAACTTTGACTACTTTCTTTTATTATTAACTAGAAGTAATAACCCAGTAAGCACGGGACGTAAAAAAAATTTCTTTTAAACATCTTTTGAACGTCTGTTTAATGTTTTGGACAACTTTTGAACGTTCAAAAAACGTCTTTTTATTAATCCCGTGCCTACTGGGAAGTTTGCATTGAGTAAAAAAAAATTCAAATATAATTTACAAAACAATTTTTTTTAATAACAAGGCTAAAATAAAAAACAAACTTCTTTTACATAGTAACATCAAAAAACCAGCTAAATTTTTACGTTTGTATTAATAGTATGGAACAGTTTTTCTTTATTTAAAGAAAGTTAACTCATATGTGTTTGGCATTTTTAAATTCTATTTGAGAATTTAAAAATGCCAAACACATTTTTAACAATAGGTAATTTCTTCAAATTTTTCTATTTTTTTTTAAGAAAAATAGAAAAATTTGAAGAAATTACCTATTGTTACGGTGAAAATAACCTTGACTGGCACGCAGCTGTAAGTTATTTTTTTTTTGTATCAGCTTATGTTTGTATTATATAAGTAAAAATTTGTTCTTTAAAATTCTATAATATAATGTTTATTTTTTAGATAAAATACATTTAATATAAATACTTTGATTTAAATTTGATTTATGAAATTACGTTATTTTCTTATAGCACACTTATAGTCAAGTTGAAATAAATTTTATAACAGTTTACTTTTACATTTTATGAAGGAAAAGATATTGTATCAGAAGTTTAGAGAAGAAAAAAGAAAAAGTTAGTTTGAAAAATTAGTTTTTAGAATGTGTATCATTTAAGAAAACTTATTTTTATTTTTTTACAACTACAAAATTCAAGTTTCTTATTCTCTTAAATAAGATTAAATCGAATAAAAATTTGAAAAAACTTAACTATAGTTTAAACAATAAATTAGGAGGAAATTTTCATCATGATGTATTTTGGCTGCTAATGTAAATTTTTAGTATCGTATATAAACAAAAATGAATATCTCAACCAGATTAAAATTTGATAAAAAGTAGTAAATACATTTAAATTAACTTTATGCGACTTACCCAAGTATTTTGCAGAAATATATTTTCAGATTTGAAAATATATTTATATATATTACAAATGACTAGCGAATAAAAATTTATTTTAAACTAATTTTACTCAGGAATATTTTGAAGAAAGTTTTATTAAAATAAAAAGTTTTAAATAATATGATATAAATAAAAATACTCTTTACTCCCACGCCAAAATCTTCATTCTGTATGATCCTTAAAGTTCTTAATATAAAACATGCATAAATATCGAGGGTTCGCAAGAGCTTTAGATAAAAAAAAAAAAAAAACTAATTTGTTTTTTATAATTTGAAAAATTTTATTTGAGTTTTTATTCAAAGTGTTCAAAAAAATTTTCAAATTTTAGAATATAGTTTTTGTAGCTATTTCAAGCTTTGTTTTTAGTTACTATTACTTATTTAATTAGAAATTTTTAGTAAGTATAAATATAAATAGAAGTAATTTTTAGCATTTTTAAAATCTTAAATCATATTTGATTACAGAACAAGGATCAAATGTTCAAGTAGTTGATTTAGTTGAAGACAATAAATCCAGTTTTTCTTTTAAGGAGGTAATTTTTTCAACGATTTAGTTAAATTATTGTCTATAATCAGTTTTATAATTTTAAATTTCGCTAAATGCAGAGCACGAGCTAGGCTACCTCACACCGCTAATGGTAAGGGGGCGCAATTTTAGAGAGTTCTTTTGTAAATTTTCGGATCTTAATCTTTAGTTTATCTAGTGGAAAATTTTTCGAAATTTTTAGGCCCTAAAAACAGGATTTTTATTGGGGGGAGGGAGGGAGGAGGAATCACTAGCCACATCAACGTTTAATTGAAATATTGCAAAAATCATCTAAAAAAAATTTATTTAGTTAATATTTAAGTTATTAAAAATGTATTAAAGTAATGTTTTTAATGTATAAAAAATTCTGTTGGTATCTGAAATTATTACTATTACTTTTTTTGTATATAATCATAACACAAATGATTACCTTAACACCCAGCCTCTAACATTCCGTAAGTAATATATATTTACATGAACTTTTTTTTTCTAGCTGCTATCTAAATCCACTTAAAAATTTTTTAAATGAAAAAAAAAATTCATTTTTATTTATTCATTTATTATCATAATTTTTTTTTTGCAGGACAGTAATGCAAATAATTCAAATTTGTTTTTAACGGAAATGAGTGATGCAGTTGACTTTGTTGTCAGCACTTTTGTTCAGGTATTTTTTGTTTAATTATTTTTTATAAGTACCATTTATTTTAAAATCTGTTTTTAGTTAAATTGTTTCAATAATTAAAAGAATGATCTATTTATATTTTGTTTTTATTTAAGGATTTTATCAATAGTTCAGCAAACATTGAATTAACCACTGTTAGCAGTACTGTTAATGACTTATCGGCTGAACCTCAGGTTAAAAATTATACTAGCATTTTAGGGAATTAATGTTATTTCGGGATCACTATAAGTTTTTATTTTTTCACAAGTTTTTGAAACTTTAAAAAAAAATACATTACTTTAAAATGTTATTAATTCAATGAGTCAAGTATTAATTGAAGTAAATAGTGTCATGAATGGTGAATTGAAAGAGTCTCAGGTTCGAAATTAAATTGACTTCTTTTCCAAGCATTATTCAAAGAGTTTCTCAGCTTACTACAAAAATAGTTTTTTTTGTTATTTTAGAATACGGTTAATAGTTCTTCATACCCTGAATTATGTGAAGTAAATAGTATCATTGATGGCGTTTCGGAAGAAGCTCAGGTAGAAAATGGAATTGACTGTTAGTTTAAAGCCAAACTTTATCTTAAGTTTTCTCGTTCTCTAACCATGTCAACTTGAAAAATTTTTGTTTTAATTTAGAGCTTCATCAACACTTTAACAAATTCCGGGTCAAGTCACATAAGCAGAACCGGTAATTGTGTATTGGAATCTCAGGTAAAAAGATAAAATAAATTTTTATTGTTGAAAGATTTAAATAAATTTTTTTTGGTATATTTATTTGACTTTTAAACATATTTGTAAACATGTTTTTTCTACTTGATAAAACTCTTTTACTAATTTTTCTATAGAACTCAATAAACAATTCTGAAACCTTTTTGTTTTATGACCCTCTGCAACTATTAACCGTGCTTTATATTTTCTATTGATATTTAATAATAAATTATAACCTTAATAGGTTTACAGCATACAAGCTCGCTACAAATTCTAATAATTATTTATATAGTAAAACCGTTTGACCCTGTATCTACTAAATTACGATCCTCAAAAATTATTATTATAAATTGTATAAACACATTGACAGTTCCAATAATTATTGATTAAAAACCAATTACTATAAACAACTTGACGTCATGGAACATTATAGTATTTACCTTTTACGTCATGGAACATTCCAGTATTTAGATTCACAGTATACGAAAAAATAAACTCCTTGATAGAAAACCTAATAACTGTTTCTATGAGCTGAAAACGTACGTCGTATTTAATAAAAAAAGTACTTAAATTAAAATATAATTGTTCATATATAAAAAAGACAAAATATGCGTAGACAGAAATTTTGTTGTTCGAGATGGGGTGGTGGTGGGGAACACTGGAAGCAAAATAAACCTCTAGCTACTGAAAGTAAAATAACCCCCGACACCAAAAAAAAAATTAAAAAGAATTTAATTTTTTTTTCTTTATTGTAAAATGTGAACACTTGCAAACTTGCACACTTGTCAATATGGGTATGGTTTAATTTTATTTAAAAGTAATAATAATGTGTAATAAGCAGTTTCAGAGGCGTAGACAGACGTTTTTGTTGTTCGAGATAGGTAACTTCCAGACATGGAGCAAACTCCAAACATTTATATTTTTATACTTACGTCAAATAATGAGGCTTTGCAAATTAATTCTTGCCCCAAAATTCTTGCCCCCTGCCTATCACGTGAGAGCAACAAGTCGCTATAATTTTTTATAATTTTGTACTATTCTTAACTAGACTTATATTCATTTATAAATTTTAAGTTTCATAGTAAAATCTCTCAGCGTTTAATAGTTATGTGTTTACATAGTTTGAGCCCCCTTCAATTTTTTTTTTTTTATTTATTTTTTTTAAATATTTTAGTTTACACTTGTTAATTTGAGGGGGTTACAAAATTTACACAGTCATAATTTATGAAAGCTGAAAAATTACCTTATGAAACTTAAAATTTATCGATGAATATATGCCTAGTTAAGAATAGTACAAAAAATATTTTATCAACTTGTTGCTTTCACGTTTGGGGCAGGGGGGCGAAAATTTTGGGGCTTTTTGTTCCCAGCCTCCAATCATCGCAATTTTTTGCAAAGCTTCATTATTTGACGTAAGTATAAAAATATAAATGTTTGGAGTTTGCTCCATGTCTGGAAGTTATCTATCTCGAACAACAAAAACGTCTGTCTACGCCTCTCAAACTGCTTATTACACATTATTATTATTTTTAAATAAAATTAAACCATACCCATATTGACAAGTGTACAAGTGTTCACATTTTACAATAAAGAAAAAAAAAATTAAATTCTTTTTAATTTTTTTTTTTGGTGTCGGGGGTTATTTTGTTTTCAGTAGCTAGAGGTTTTTTTTTGCTTCCAGTGTTCCCCAACACCACCCCACGCTAACCCTTTCAAATTCATCCACTAATTATTTGTTAACAATATATTTCTGCATCCTAATTACAATCTGACAAAAAAAAAAGCAAAAAAATTATAAATTATATGTTTTTTAAGTGATTATCTTAAAGCTTATCTAAAATTTGTCATTAAGCATTAAGGATATTTGGGCAAAGTTTTATTTGCAATAGATCCTGTGCCTTTATTTTTAAAGCTACTAACTCTGATAATCTTTTTATACCTGATGAAAACTTTAAGCTCAAATTTTTATCAGGTATAAAGAGATTACCAAAATTTTTTTTTAGATACAATTTCGACATTTTCCAGCAATTAGTTTTAGCTCTGCATGTTTTTAAGTGACCAAGTGGCAAAGACTAGATCGCATGGCGAACACTGGATATTATATACCGTAAATATTTTTCTTATCAAAACAAATTTTTTTAAATTTCTTTTAAATAACTTAGACCTAATACCTAACTTAATAGCTTATAAACAGGCATTAAGTCTTTATTTACTTCGTTTGAAAAGTGTTAAAATTATTATTATAAAATATGAGGTAACAAAAGGGTTTGCTTAACTTATTATAAAAAAAACTTTTTATAATAACGTACTTGGGGTGGTCGGGGAAATGGTGGCCTCTGGGGCAATTCTGGACATATGATGTTTCTATATTTGTGTAATTTAAGTGAGATTTTGTATCTGTACTGGTACCTATTTTCTACTAGAAGAACTAACAGTTGGTCCTAGTTCTTGGTTCTTCCTACATAAGCGGCGCTAGTTGTCTTATGTTGTTAACTGTCATTTACGTATTAAAAAAAAAAATAACTATTGTTGGGCCCACAAAGACTATACAGATCTCCTCCATAAAAACGATATTTACATTTGTGACTATTTAATAGTAATATTGTACTACTTATTTTATTAATTCTTAAACTCATAAACTTATTCTCTTAAACTCTCATAAAACTTATTTTTGATAATTATTATTCTTGTTTTTATTATTCGTATTTGACAAAAGAATTAAGGTAATGTTGACAAGGCTGCAACAAGTGCTTCAAAGTTATGGGGTAAAATTGGCTATTTTGTCTATATTTTTTCTTTTAATAACAAGTTAATTATATTTTGTACGTATTTGCCAATAAAGTACTTTATAATATACATTATATTAATTTTTCTACTATAGTTACAGCTTGGAGCATTATAATACAACCCTAAAAAGAGTAAAAACCTTAAGGGGCCACCATTCCACCAACCTTCCCTACAGAGAATGAAAAGCAATAACGAATTCAGCATTTTTTAGTGTTTGAGATAACTTCCAGACATGGAGCAAACTCCAAACATTCGTATACTTTCACTTAAGTCAAATAATGATGCTTTACAAAAAAATGCGACGATTGGAGGCTGGGAACAAAAAACCTTTCTATTTATCTTCACCCTAAACGTAACGAGCAATAAGTTGATAAAATATTTTTTTCTACTATTCTAATTTATCGATAAATTTTAAATTTCATAGTATTATCTGTCAGCTTTAAAAATTCTTATCTTATTTATAAATAAATACATATACTTGTATTTATACTTGTATTTACTTGTATTTATAAATGTATTAAAGTTAAATATATGTAAAGTATATAGTGAGGAAATAAATTTAAAAAAACTTGAATTTCCTTTAATTAAAAATAAAGTACAAACTTTTACATCTAAACGAATTTTATTATTTAAAGCTCAGATAATAAAACTCGTTTTGACATAAAAGTTTGTACTTTATTTATTAATAAAAGAAAAACACAACTTTGATAAAAAAATAATTTTTTATGTGATTAGATTTTAAACGCATAAAATGTTCTATTTATTAAGCTTTAGAAAATTCGATTTACCTTAAAGATTAATGTAGAAGTTTGTACTATATTTGCTTTATTCGTAAAGAAGAAAAAACGGAACTTTGGATGCTTACTTTTTAGAAAAACCTATTTAACATTTAACATATATAATAGTAGAATACTTATTAATAATTCGATTATTAAAAGCTAGAAAAATAAACATTTTATTTAAAAAATATTTTCGTGTAAAGAGTTATAAAAAGACTTTTCAACTTATTTTTAAAGCAAACCAAAAACTTTTTTTTACGCTCATTTTCTTTATCCAATTTTAGCAAATTTGTTTAACATGTTTTAAAATAATCCTATTTAGGCGAATTTTTAAACAAGTTTTAGGTAAATTCACTTTAAGTTTACCTTGAAACATGTTTTAAATAAATTCACTTTAAGCGAAGTTTGTAAGCATGATTTCAATAAATCCACTTTAAGTGAAGTTTTCATATATATATATATATATATATATATATATATATATATATATATATATATATATATATATATATATTTAGATAAATCCACTTTAAGAGAAGTTTCAAACATTTCTTAATTAAAGGTTTAATTATTTTTTTAATTTTGTTTTAAATAATTTTTAATGTTGTTTTAAATAAATATAAATTTTAGACAAAGTTTTAAATATGTGATTTAATAACTCTACTTGAAACAAATGTTCAAACATCAATTCAATAAATCCACTTTAAGAAAATTTTTTTATCACGTTTTAATCAATCCACTTTAGGCGAAGTTTCAAACATCTCTTAAAATAAATCCACTTTAAGCTAAGTTTTAATCATTTTTTAAAGAAATCAAGCTTAAGCAAATTCATAGAATAATTTAAATAAATCCACTTTAAACGAATTTCAACATGCAAAATTTAAAAAAAAATGTGATGAAAGAATTTTTTTATATAAAGGCTTTTATGTAACCTAATTACAGGGTGCCATGTTTCTTAAAGCACAAAGAAACACTATTTCTCCCCTCCTATCTGGTCTATTTCTCCTTATCTTATCTGGTCATTTATTTCAGCATTTTGCAATTCTCCCCCTCCCCCCCCCACACACACACAAACACACACATACACCGATAACTCTTTTTAAAAAACCCCCTCCGCCGCCGCAAACCCTGCGTGTCCTAGTGTACAATTTCAAAATTATGGTAAGTCTAACTTTAGTCGAAGTTTTAAATTTGTTTTCAATAACTCTAATTAAAACGAGTTTTCAAATATGTTTTCAAGAAGT